AGTAGGAACAAGTGCCTTACTAGTAGGAACAAGTGCCTTACTAGTAGCAACAAGTGCCTTACTATTAGCAACAAGGACGCTAGTAGTAACAAAATGTGCTTTTCGGCTACGAGGTGCAATGGCTCCAACGCTGAGGACGGCGTAGATTGCAACAACCTGAGACAAAGCGGCCACAACACGCCAGCAGCTGCACCATTTGGTCAAAATACCATCTGAGCAAGCCACCACGTTCTGTGTTGAGCTCAAGAGAACAAGAAATGAAATTGGCATTGCAATGGCCTCAGAAAGAGTTTCCATTCGTTTCAGTTCTTTCTGAAGATGTGGAGGTCGCGTCTATCGCGCAAACCACAAATGCACATGATTCTCACCCTCTATGCAAAAGGATATGTTTATCTTGCTGCGGCTTAGTGGGTGGTTGAGCAAAGCAAGAAGGATTTTCTCGGCTTTGCCTTTGTAATCCAAATGTGTGTTTGACAGCGATTCTTGTGCTTCAAGTTCCCGAACTCAGACGGACGGCAAAATTTGGGGCAAAGGTGACATCCGACGTTCATCTGGGAATAGAGAAATCGAACCGCTGAAGTGGCGAATTCTGCACTGTGCGAAGAATTGTGCTAATGAGACCTTAATGAGACACCTAATTATTGACTCTGAGCTGGTGAGAGACGAATCCCCAGTAGACTTAGACTAGAAAACGCTCACTCTTCAACAGCTCAAGGACGCTCCGTTTGTTGGACGGACTTTGTTGCGCACGCGTCGGGTAATTGTCACGGGAAATCGTGACGTGATGCGATTGTGGTGACGAAGCGATTGTGGATTTGTGGATGTTTGTCTCCAGCAAAACAGACACATCTCTAAACAGTTCACACCTGAAGCACCGTCCACTGGAAGGTGAATGAAGGTGAAGGTATCAAAATGTATCAATGGCATGGTATGCAAGACTGGTCTCGGCACTCCATGGGTGACTAGGATCGTGGCAATGCCCGAGAATAGTCCGTTGATCAACTCTTCGCCCATGTCGTACCTACGACTTGACAATACTACGGTCTACATCGGTATACCATGGTATACCGTGTTCTTCACAGGGCAGTTGACTCGGAATGCAACTTGCAGTTGTGCCTCTGAAACTCTCCGTTGCCATGGAACTTCATACTCTTGAGACTACTTGGCAGAGCTCCTGAGAGGCAATCGCCAAGTTTCAATAAACCATTTTCAATTGAAACTTAAAACCGTCCTCGATTTGCATCCATCCATTCTCTGATGTGGTCTCGGATCCTGGTGCCTAACGGAAGATGCCAAGCGGTGCAGCATACGCTCAGAGAATTCTGAAGATGTGAACAACTCTCCGTTTTCTTGAAGATCTGCCTATGGAAAACGGAAGCCGCTTCTTCATCACACTCCGGAAGTGAAGCGCGACATACTTCAGCTCTCCGTCAATAAAGCCAATGTCCTCGCTCCGAAGAGCGTTCCGATATGTTCCGATCAAGGCAGCCTGTTCTCACTCGAAATGGTGAGGTGTACAGTAAATGTTCAAGAGGTGTACTGTAAAATTCAAAAGAAAAACATGTCACCAATTGCTCTTGTTCACTTCAGTCCACCAATGTTCAGTCCATTGCTTTTGTTGCAGCTGCGAGTCAGTCTTGTAATTCACCGCCTTTACCAGCACATCGCCATAAATCTGACCTGCACCGAAAACATACACGTTTGACTCCGTTTGACGATCGAAATGGACAAAGCTTTCGAACAGTGCCAAGAAAGCAACCAAACGGAGCAAGCATGAGAGAAGGCAATTCATTGAAACATTTTTGGGGGGTAGTGGAAGCATGACTCCAACATCAATGGGCTGAAGTCTGCTGGCACCTTTGTCCGCTGCACTGCGAAATGCTTGAAGCTGAGTTGTGAAGTTGGCACCGGTCGGCAATGGCCCGCCCAGCCACTGCTGGAAATCCTCCAAGAAGCACGACACGGTCCTGCAGTGGAGAAGCAGTGAAGCAGCACGGAAGGCTGAAGAAAAGACACTAGAAACGATATTGAAAAGGGGAAGGCAAGCCCCCCTTTGATTACCCGAGATTCTAAAGATGCAGCTCTCTGCTGAAGACTCTCGCGACTACGAAGGAACAGTCATTGCACGGTTCTGGACTTCTAGTGTCCTCTCAGTCGTCTGCATCACGAAGGTGTCATAGCCAGAGTTGTCGCAGCCCTCGCATTGGCAGTTCAAAAAGCATTGAACACTGGCTAACCCCTCACTGAGAACCGGCTAGTGGGAGTACAAGTGCCGGCAACAGCGCCTTTCACTAACGAGAACAAACCGTATTCGTCACTTGCGAGCCTCCAAATCGCAGGTGATGGTGCGCAACTTTGAGCAAATATCAAGCATTCCAGTCTGCGCCTTTGACACAGAAATCGTTTGGCACTTTCGGGTACTGCTTTGTTGTAAAGATCCAAATTCACGACACTTCGGATATAGTTTCTTGCTACATATCTTCCACCAAAGTCCGCTTCCTTAATAACGCATCGACAAGCTGTCAAAGTCAAGCAAACACCCAACAAATCTGTGCCTCACTGGTAGTGAGGTCAAAGCTGTCATCAAAAATAGGTGTGCCAATGAAAGCGCCTGCAGAGTGTGGATCTAAAGAATTCCGAGCGACTTGAAACCGACGAAAGAAACGGGAGAAAACGAAGAAAGGAAAGCAGAAACTCTGCCGGCGGCCATCACAATGGCCGTTTAGTGTTGGTGTCGCCGTTGCCTGGGTCATAAACATTAATGCCCGAGGTGTCCAAACCAGCGATGCCAAAGATCACAGTGATGACCTAGGACATCAACACCATGTTGAAATCACGTGCCGTCTCGAATCCGAATGAATCCGATGCAGCATTTGTCATTCTCAAGGCAACGACAGCGTAGTTGTCAAAGGCTGGAGTGTAGAAGTTCTCTGCCATAAAATCTTGGATGCCCACGAACATGTGATTGCCTACGGCTCTTGGACCATATCTTGGTCCAAATGGCCAAGCGGAACAAATCCTCCCTCACCGAAGGTGTTGAGGCGTTGAACTCCAACTATGCGTTTGCTATAATTGCTTTAGCTAGGGTGGCATTTTCGTTTGCGTATTCTGCATCATGAGATCTGTCCGGGAGAGGGGTGGGAGTGGGAGAAAACATGGAATAAACATGGTTTTCACACATCACCTATGTCTGACTGTATTTCCATCATCCTATCATTTGCATCGCTAGGTCCATGAAAGGCAAACAAAGGACAAACAAAGGACTCCTCTCAACAGTCTGTGTCTTAAATTGCAGAATTTGCGCCAGCTGGTTGCCATTGTCTACAGTAGCTTACTACGGTAGCATATGTGTCAGCTGGTTGCAAGTGGATAGTTTATTGTGCAAAATGCCTGGAAGTTAGTATAATTTGGACTCCCTCGAAGAATGTACAACTTCACGGGAGTCGAAAAAACCATCCAACAGTGCCAACAATTTGTTAAAATGTGTCCATAAATAGACTCATGATGGAGAGACATGACAAAAGAAATTGTAAGAGGTCTAAAACTCGAGTGATTATGGACAGTTTTCTATATATTATTCATCCACTTCATGCTGCGTTCATCTCTAAGTCCTGTCTCGATCATACATATATGGTTGCATAATAACTCCATTTTTCGACCCCCTTGAACATGTACAATTTCAAACGGGTTGAAAAATAGATCATGATCCAACAATGTTTGCACAATGCAAGTAAGACATAACTAAGCAATGTATCAAAGGCTAGTGACTATAGATACTTCTTTTACCCTCTCTCTAAAAGCGGTGCGGACAGTTGTTGTCGCGAAGCGACCTGACATACAAAACTGTCTCCCACAAGGGCTTCCGTGAAGCTTTAGGAGGTACTCTTCTCGATTTGTGCGTGCCAGCTGGAGGCCATTTCTAACACGCGCATCGGCCCGAAGTGGATCCACTAAACAGCGTCGGGGATTTCAAGCTATACATGCGTGCTCAAAAGGATCGAAAAGTCCACATGAAACATGGACACAAGATCCCTCGATCTTTTGAGCTAAAAGCGGTCTGGAAAATCCAAACCAAAGTGAACTCGCTCCCACTCAGGCAGGTCCTCATGAGCTAGCCGTTGGAGTGGAAAAAGAGTTTTCGCTTCTTCTTTCTGTTTCTCCCTTCGGAGCCTCTGAGCTTTTCTGGCGCTCACAAACTCCTGGTTGAAACGTACGGCCCAAGTCTTCTTCGTGTGGTAAAGGGCCATGATCTTGAAGCTTTCATACGTGGCCTTCGTCAAACTGTCGGCAAGGTTCAAGTCACCTGGAACCCAGGTGGGGTGACAATGGCTTTCGTCCGTAGTGCCTTGTTGCACATGGAGCATTTCAACGCCTGTACGGGCGTTCGACATTCCCAGCATCACTCAGTCGTTGGTTGTGAGAGCATCGAAACATCCTCTGCTGTCCATCACGAGGAGGGACTCTGTCATGCTGGCCAAGAGGTTGGAATTTTGCCTCGTCAGCTTTTCTCCATTCAGGAGTGCCCAAAACAAACGAAGACGCCATCCACGATCTTCGCCCTCGTAGATAGCTTGACCTTCGGCCCCGTTGGAGCCTTTGCTGGGACGATCCAGCTTCCAGCTTCTCCAGTCGATCATCGACATCTTGCTTTCGGCTCCTGTGAGAACGGAAGGGTCGGAGAGGCAGGAGACATGTCCACCTGTAGCGCCGCCGCATGGACGGTTGTTCAAACCAGCGTCGGCAAAGTGAACAGCTATCAAATCATTCCATTTCAACTTTCGCTTCCGGCAGGCATTGAAGGAGTGCATCACTAAGTCTTCCTTGGAAGTTTTTCGAAGTTCTCTCATGATGGCATTCGCCTCCTTGAGCTCCTTGATGGTGGGGTCCTTCAAGGATGAGGCCAATAGGCCTATGCGGGCGCAGAACTGTGGGGCCGTTTGGATGGCCCTCCATTGTGCCTTCATGGTCAGTGCTCTGGCCTGTGTTGTCTCTGCAGGGCTGAGTCGATCTGTGATCTTTCTTTGACTTTCTTGTTCTATGGTGACTGGTCGAAGAGCTCCACAGAATTTCTCCTGTGTCATGTAGATGGTGTAGTCCTTGGTTTGTTTGAGCTCTATGCCGGCAAACGTGAAGGTTCCTGTTTGCCAAGGTGACCAGCTGTACATCTCTTTAAAGAGCTGGCGATATCTCATCCAGTCTCTGTCATCTTCTTTGCCGGTGATGATGAAGTCATCCACATGTGAAGCAATCCGGCCACAGATCTCTCCGGAGGAGTTCCGGAAAATCCAGATGCACTTGTCCAATGGGTGAGCTACTCCACCAATCTGTTGGATCTTTCTGTCGCTGTCACGCCAGAAGATTCTGGGGGCATTCGTGAGGCCATAGATCGCTCCGACGACCTCCATCGCCTGATTCTTTGGGATCTGCAAGGCGTGGCTGAGCTCTGGGACACCATATGTGTATAGCGGCTGCGTGCCAATGCCCTCGTCCGCCTGGAGGAATGCCGATTTGGCATCAGCGGATTCCAGAAGGTGTTGGTCTAGAGCAGCTGCTTGGAGGACCAACTGGCGACCCAAACGTGATAGTGTTGGGGATGCCGTTCTCAACTGTGGTCTTCCTGTTCTTTCGTCCCTTCGAGCTAGGTCAGGGTGCTTGTACCCAATGAGGACGATTCTGGCTTTTGCCTTTGCCAAACCATCTTCTCGAAGAACAGTGGGTGTTCCATCCGTAGGTGGCAGCTCTGGAGTTGACAATGGCTTCCAGATCAATATCCATCTCATCGGAATGATCCTTTCTTTCAAGACAGCTTCTGGGACTTGTTCTCGAAGAGCCCGGAGAGATTGAGACCTCAGTACTTCTGAAACTTCTCTGGCCATAGCCTCTTTCATCAACTCTTGGTGATGAGGGGACAACTTCTTGAAGTTCACTTCTTTGTTTTGACTTTGTAGTTTGTCCGCGACATAGGCAGTGCTATCGAGGACAAAGGCTTGCGTGTTGTCAATCTCAATCTCGATGAAGCAGGCTTCTTCAGCATCAATCACTTGTTCTGAGAGCATGAAGTCCAATAGGAACTGCTCTTCCTCCTCTTCTTCATTGATTTCTTCCAGAAGTTCTTGTCGTCGTTGTTCTGGACCATTCTGGTAATCTTCATTCTTTTGCTGGTGGTCATTGTCAGCCAGATAGTTCTCTTCCGGCATGCGGCATGTTGTCATTCTTTATGTCGAAGAGCTGGTAGATGTCCATGCCAGTTTCTTCCGAAAGAGCTTGCATGGTCATAGTTTCCTTGCCCTCTTCATCGTCAAGGTTGTAGTTTTGCACTTTCCTCTTTCGTCCACCAGGCCTCACAGTGAACTCACAGCGGCCTGTCCAAGGTCTTGCGAAGGCAGGGATGTTCTTTTCTGTCTTCTTCCAATTGTCCTCGTAGGTTCCATTTTGTTGATCATCCCACCAGTAGGTTCTTCGTGTTGGTTGGATGAACCTCTCTTCCACAGGGCAATCTGTGGTGGTAGTTGGCTGAAAGAGTGACCACCTGGGAGTATAGTGGTGGCGGATGGGATCTTCTCTCGATCTTGATCGTGATCGGGAACCTGCACTCTGTCCTTCTGAAGGCCCATGCCATTCATCCGGAGGGACTGCTTGTTCTTCTTCTCCAGGATCAGGTTCTCCTTCAGGTCGTGGTTCCTCTGGAAGAAGGTCACGTTCAGGATCGAAACTTGGCTCCCTTGTCACATCCACGCTCGAGTGGAGTTGCCTCAAAAGATCTGTCATAGGTGTTGCCAATCTGTCACCATGCTTGACCATTTCTGCTAGGATTTCAACTTCAGAAGCAGGTCTCATTTGCTCGGGTGCACACCTCCACAAAGACGTTCCCATGAGCACCCAATAGACAGCAGCATGACCTCCCGGAGTTGCTGAAGGTTCTATCATTGCAATGCGTCCTGGACCAATGAATCGTGGCTCGTTCAGGAAGTCTTTCTTGCGAGCTTTGATCGTTGGGTTTCTCCAAATGCAGACCCAATCACCCACGGTGTAGGCATTTGTTGGCCGACTGGAGGCATTGTACAGTCTTGTCATCCTTGCAGCTGCCAGTTCTTTTCGATGGATTTGTTCAACTGCCTCTCTATTTTTCTGCAGCTGCCAGAATTCGGCTGTGTTCATGCCGTTGTTGGTGTTCACCTCCAAAGGGTCGTGCTCCAAATGCCAAGCTCCAGGTTCTAAGCCGTATGCCCATTGAACAGGGCTGTATCCTCGAACTCGATCACCATGATTCTGTGCGGAGGAGGCCAATAGTGCCACAAGCTTTGGACTTAGTCTTGAATGCTCACTTCTCACCTTCTTCATGGTGTTCTTGAGAGCCTTCACCATTGACTCTGTGCTGCCATGTTGCCAGTGAGCTTCTCCAGGTACAGCAGTCACACCAATGCCAATGGACTGGCAGAAAGCTGCAAAGTCGCCTTTCGCCAGGGATGTTTGAGCGTCCACCATCACCCACTCAGGTCGAGGTCGATGAAGTAGCCATCCTTCCACAAAAGCATGGATGAGCTTCTGTCCTGATTCTGTTCCTGTCGCGGCTGCGTCGCCTTGCCATAGAAGGTGAACAGAGGTGAATCTCATCGTCAGGCATGTCATCAACAAGTATCTCGCCTTGGTTTTGAGCTTTGGGAAGTACAGCTCAAAGGTGTCCAATCCAATCATTTGCCATGGGCGAGAACGGGATTCAATCGAAGAGGGCAATGTCATCTGAGCACCCTTCTTCGTCTCCAAACAGGCCTGACATTTCATCTCAAGGGCCAATTGAGTGACCCAAGGTGGTAGACCTCGATCTTGACATAGCCTTGCCAAAGAGCGGTTGTTCGGGTGTCCGGCTGCTCGATGGAGTCGATGTAGCATAGCCTTGGTCTGTTCTATTTCTTCTTTTGGTACAGCCTGAAGCTCACTTTCTCCTTTTGTCCTCTTTCTTTCTTGACCTGTTCGGTCCTCCTTTCTCTCAAGCTCCATGTCGTTGTCAATCGCCATGATGGCCTTGTAGACTTCTTTTGGTGAAGCTTTGATGTTTCTTTGCCATTGTGATTTCCAAAGCCGAGCTATGCCCTCCACCATGGATTTCGGGTAGAAGGCGGTCTCGGAGACAGCTTTGGAACCCATGCCGATCATCCCTCCTGGTCGGTGAGTGTGCGATTGGTCGCACTTTCGGCCACAACGGTCATGAAATTCAGGATCATTGTTCATCACCAACCAAGATTTCTGGATGAATTGTCCATCAGGGCTTTTCATACCATGTTGGCAGCCATCAATCTGGGTGAAATAGAGCGGGCCAAATTCCTTCTGGTACTGCTTGATGAAGTGCTGAAGCTCAGGGAGATTCCATCCTGCGACAGCGAACTTTGGCCATTCAAAATAGAACTTGCTCGAATTTTGGCTTGCCAAGATGATAGCCCAGATCAAAGGCTTGCCGATGTCATACCCCGTCTCCAATGTTTTGCGATGCCCGTGGATCTTTTGTTCGTGAACTGCATTCATCAGTGCCGAGTTTGCTCTGCAGCAAATCTCCCAAACAAGGAAAGGTTTCGTGTAGTCCTGCAAGACACCCAGACAGGTGCCAGAGTTGAATTCCGTAGTGTTTCTCAAAAGCTTTTGGCGTATGGCCTCTCCAAGAGGCTCCTCTTCATCATCACTCTGAATCACTCTTGCTCACTGCTGCGACTCCTTCTTCTTCTTCGGCTCGTAGTCCTCCTTGTTGATCTGCTCGAAGCTGTCGTCGTCGTCCTCCGAGTGGATCGCCACAGCTTCTGGTGGAGTTGCCGAGGACGTTGCATTCTTCGCCAAGTCGTTCGGCTTGACATAGCCGGACTTTGCCTTGCTCTTCGGAGTCTTGATCAACTGGTACTCCTTGGCCACGATGGTGATCATTGCCTTCACTTGGGTCATGGATATGGTCTGAGGCTCCCAGCCCTCCGATCGTAGGCGCTCCAAGGCCATCGTCACATTCTGGGGAAGGTCCACGTGCGTGGTCTGTGCGGGCGCATTGATGGCAGGGATGTAGCTCAGCCTTAGACCGCAAGTGCCGCATTCCGTCCATGCACCATACCGATTCCCGTGGCTGACTGGTTGATGAGCTCCGAAGCAGGGCCATTGGTGGTCCTTGGCTCTGGGATCTCGTTGATCCACCCCGGCCTTCCGGGTATAGTCGAACTCGGTCTTGTTCTTTGTCTTCGACTTGGCTTTTGCCGCCGTGCTTTTGATCTCCGCTTTTGCTTCTTTGGTGGCTTGTTGAATCTCTTCCTGGACCACCTCCCGCACGGCCTTTCGAATTTCTTCCTTCAGCGGCAGCTCCGCCATGTCGTAGAGCTGGAGAAGGATCGGTGAGTGTCGTCGCGTCGCTTGCTGTGGGCATGAGATGCTGCAAAAGAGGTTGAGTCACTCCCAAATGACTTGCCAAATTGTGAGAAGCAGCTTCAAAAGCAAAACAATCCAAGACAACATGCTCTTCCGTGTTCGTGACTTCACAGTCCATGACATCCAAAGTGAAAATGTCTAAGACATGACACTCTTCAACATCACAAAAATGCACCCTCCGCGAAGGCGATTTGGAAGAGGTTGTCGAAACGTGGTTTCCGGCATTGGGCTCAAGATCATGGTGGTGTTCAGGGAATATATGTTCCTTGTAGTCAATGATGAGGTGCTCCTTACTATTCTTCTGCAAAGTCATGGGTCGTCCTTGAATGATGCATGCCCCGGTGGTGCAGTTGATGACACAGTTGAGATGCTGAAGTTCTTTCATACCGGTGAGAACTGGTACATCAACAGCTGGAAGTGCATAGATGGACATGGAAACCTCTGTGAAGGGGTCCTTGAGGGTGACCTTGTACAAAGCTCTGCCCCACTTGCCATTTCCGAATCGAAACCATGGTCGCGCTGTTTCAAACACGGTGACCTCAAGGTTTGGTCGTGACGAGACAAGTGCTTTGCACAAATCCTGCACGGCTTGCTTTCCGCCGGCAGTAGCAGTAGCTCCGGTGTCCACCAAGGATTGGTGTGGTGGCAACCGTGATTGCTTGCAAGGTTCCCTCGAAGCTGGCGTTGCTGCCATCATCAAAGGATACATGCCTTGATCATCGAATTCTTCTTCCACTTCCATCATGCCCATACTGTAGTTCGAACCATAGCCTTTGCCTTTCGTGTGCTTGCCCTTGCCCTTGCTGTAGTTGTTGCCGTAGGTGAACTTTGTCTTTCCTTTTCCGCCCTGAACCCAGTTGCCTTCCTGGGTACGGGCTTTTCCAAGATGCTGAGGTTTTCCTTTTCCACGGCCTTTTGGATTTCCCTTCCATGGATAGGTCGTTGTTGACCGTGGTTGCCGTTGTTGAACTGTTCCTGTCCAGCCGCGATCCTTCTGGCCGGCTGCCACTGCTTTTCTGGCCTCGATGAGGTTCCGGTCGGTCTCACCAAGCAATGCTTCCAACTCCATTTTGTTCTTCTCGTGCTCTTCTTGTTCTTGATGAAGTCGAAGGAGTTCTTCATCCATCTCTTCTTCGTTCTCCCACTCTTCAGCCTCATAGTTTTCTTCACCTTGCCACTCCTCGTCATTCTCTGCGATGTAGTCCTGGCCGTAGGGCTCCTCAGAGTAGAAACCATAGTGCTCGGCGTTCTGGTCATAGGTCTCTTCCGTCTCAAAGTCTTGGTAGTAGGCTCGTTGAGAGCCATTCGAACGAAGTCCGCCATGACCTGGAACTTTTCCAGAGCCTTTGCCTTGAAGACGTTCTTCGAACAGGCCAAGGAGGGCTTGTCGGATTTCGCTATAGGCCAGTCGGTTCCTGGTGGCGGCCTTGATGAGTCTTCGATCATCTTCAGATGATACTGCCATTTCCAAGACCAACCATCCCCTGATGCCGTCAAGGGCGGCCAGCGGCATGAGACCCTTTTCCATGAGTCTTTCAAGAAGGTCCTTGCCACGCTTCGCTTCATCGCCTTGGGATGTCGTCGAACTCCTCGATGATGAAGCATGACTTGATCTTCCTTTGGTCGATCCCTTCGAACTGAAGGGTCTCCCCGGATGTGATTCCCGAGGTGTTTCAGTCCTTTCTTCTTCATCGGTCGCCCCTTCGGGTACTTCTCCTTCTTCCGGATCATCGCCTTCAGGTTCTCCACAATATAGTGACTGACCTGGGCTGAAGCCACAAAAGCGTCGAAGCTCCTCCACATCCACGTCATAGTCTTCAAAGGTCAGCTCCTTCTCACGGAGTAGCCGTTGCAATGCACGGACCATGTCATCATGAAGTTTGTCCTCTCTGATGAGGAAGGCGCTGACTCCCTCATGAGGTCTTCGGCTCAACCTGCGATAGTAACCTCCGATTTTGGATCCGGCATCTGGGAGAGGTTGTTTGTTGAGTGGGCTTTCTTCGAGGTATTTGATGAGTTTGGCAACATCTTTCTCAGCTTTAAACTCCTCTGGCCGGAGTTTATACATGAGTTGGACAAGTGCAGCATGGTTGGATTGAAGAGCTTTTCGTACAATCCGAGCGGCCAAAAGGGGTCTTTCGTTGGCCTTTGAGGATTGCAAGGCCCATTTGCATTCCACTATGAAATGCCCAAAGGAGTCACTTCGTCCGTCCCAACATGGAACGAAGTTTTGGGAACCGTCATTCCCCTTTTCCACCATTCAAAACCAAAAGGTCCTGATCGACCCCATGCTCCGCGGCACCAATGTCTCCCACAAGGGCTTCCGTGAAGCTTTAGGAGGTACTCTTCTCGATTTGTGCGTGCCAGCTGGAGGCCATTTCTAACACGCGCATCGGCCCGAAGTGGATCCACTAAACAGCGTCGGGGATTTCAAGCTATACATGCGTGCTCAAAAGGATCGAAAAGTCCACATGAAACAAAAACACAAGAAAACCAGTAGCCGCATAGTCCATAGTCCCGTCTACCCTTCATGCCTGGAAACCAAACCTCCTCAGATCTCGGAGGGGTCAATTGTAGTGCGAAGCTAATACCTGCGAGCAACAGCAACAGCATATGCAGCATATGTACATGTTCATATGTTCATCGCAATATAAATGTTCATATGTATATATCTAGAAGCTGATATCTGCAATATTTCACAGCAAATCCTTACTCTGAAATGCATTGCTATTGTCCAGCCTTGGACAGCAACTCCAAACATGATCAAGAATAGAATCAATGCAAAAATTCTCACTGGACCGACTTTCTTCGACATGACCTTGGGCAAGGAAACTCTGGCGTCGTGACACACAAGTCGAAGGTTGCATCTTCGGCAAAGGAGCTGGAATGTACACCTTCTCGAAGAAAAGTTCTACTGGGCCTGCAGACTCCTGTCAGTGCCCAACAAAAAGTTCAAAGAAAATGGGCGAAGAACACGAATTCCATCGGGTGCATAAATGAACTGGTAAATTCTGGAGCGTCCTCTGCCAAAGGCTTCTCATCCACCGGAACTATCGCAAATTCTCGCTGTTTCAAGGTGGGGCAGCAGCAGCGCTTTGCTTGCAACCGCCGATGCCAGAATAAGAGGACGGGCGGAAAATAGGTCAATGTCAAGACCTCAAAGCTGAGACAAATGGGTTGGCGGAAAGATGTATGAATGAATTAGTTCTATTGTTTTCTTGGGAACAATTGCTGAGCATGACGCGTAAAGAGTAACAATGCACGTGGCTGCCTGCAGGTGACGGTGGTCCAAGGCTAAGACTCTAAGACGCTAAGCCGCTAAGCAAAGAAAACCACTGAGCATGACACATACCATCCGCATGTTCTCATTGGCATGCATCTCGACACCTCACTTCCCACATCTTGGCAGGCTGCGCATGCTACCAGGGGCTCCTGGCCCTACTACTAGTAACAAGAAGCTACTAGTAAAGTCTCAGGCTCCGCGTTGTTTCAAAAGCACACTTCCTGCAGTCTCAGGCGCTGAGCAGGAAGCAAAGGCCAATGCCGTCGTGAAGGAGGTATTGAAAATGGCCACGCCCGCACGTTGGAAGGTAAGAGACAAGGCTTTAATCTCCTCAAACTTCGATGTCTGGAGATGAATTCTTGTTTTTCGTATTTTCCATTCCGCCTTGATTCTCTTGGTTCTCTTTCCCATCGCTTCGCTTTTCTATGGCGTGGTCGTGCTTCCTTCATGCATCCAGTCCTGCTCTTCTGACAGCCTGCCTCCGCGGACAAACGGAAATTCAGCCTGCGATGTGCTCAGCATCAGGGATCTGGACGAACTACGGCCATTCATATAAATACAAATAGATAAATCAACTGAAGATCTTGATTTGCGTTGCTCATTCTTTTGCGATCTTATCTTTTTTCTATTTATCTTCAATCTTCAATCTTCAAATCTTCCTTACAGTACTCTGTTCCTCTTCATTCAGGCCTTCACAATGTGGCAAAACGTGTCTTTGAAAACAAAAATGTCGTCAGCACCGATGCCAAGCACCAAGTAAACCACTAGGATGTGCAGAAATTCAAAATATTGAACTCGAAGAACACCTCAATTCCAACTTTGAACAGCTCAATACAGAAGTGCAAAACAATAAAAGCGAAGATAAGCGTGTCATAACCAGGGCCCCTTTCAGAATGCAGCTCAGAATCCCTGGTAGACCAGTGCAGCAACCGGCAACGTCATAATCTTGGTGTTCGACTCAAATGATCTGTTGACTCAATCGGATGACAAAATGCTTTAAGTCGATCAAGTTCCAAACTTCCTAATGCACTTTGGACCCTCGCTTCTGTTGCCGCTTCTTTACAAAAGATTGCACACTTGCATTTATTTGCGCCAAATCTGGAGGCGCAGTAGGTCACGCAATGCTGGGCTCCGTGCCATCATGAACATGCTCGAAGCCGCAATGATGCTGGACTTTGTATGGAGATATCTTGGTCCAAAAAATCATACCCAATTTGATGACACCGGGATCACTGGTCTCTACAAAGAAAGCAGTCAAAACACTGAACAAACTGCCGGTGTGGCTAACTAGGACACACATCCGTGAAGCTGAAATCGCTAAGTGCCCGGCGCAATGCCAAAGACTAGGATGACGGATATGAAGGACAGCAAGAAGTCCGGCATCGCCATCTTTTGAATTTCGTTAATGCCCGAGAAAATAAGACGAACCCGTATGTTGCCTGAGCTGCCATGCCAGAGTCAAGAATCAGAAACAAAAGGGATCAAACGGGACTCATTGAAAGCAAACAGCAACGCAAAATCGTCGGGATGCCGCTTGGAACGAAGCGGTCTTCTTCGCCTTGGAATGCAGATTTCAGCAGGGCGTAGGACAACCCGAGATGTTCGAAGACGGGCGCCATCGCCTCTTCACCGGAATCCGGCGAGACCTCGGAAGAGTGTCGCCGAACTGTTTCCTAGTAGCGATGCCAGGAGCCCCTAGTAGCGTCCTTGCTCCTAGTAGCGATGCCGGGAGCCCCTAGTAGCGTCCTTGCTCCTAGTAGCGATGCCAGGAGCCCCTAGTAGCGTCCTTGCTCCTAGTAGCGATGCCAGGAGCCCCTAGTAGCGTCCTTGCTCCTAGTAGCGATGCCAGGAGCCCCTAGTAGCGTCCTTGCTCCTAGTAGCGATGCCAGGAGCCCCTAGTAGCGTCCTTGCTCCTAGTAGCGATGCCAGGAGCCCCTAGTAGCGTTCTTGCTCCTAGTGGCGATGCCAGGAGCCCCTAGTAGCGTCCTTGCTCCTAGTAGCGATGCCAGGAGCCCCTAATAGCGTCCTTGCTCCTAGTAGCAAGGCCAGGAACCCCTAGTAGCCGAACTTTTTTCTGTCAAACATGTACTATACTATCTATAGTCTAACCATAAATTGCAATGTGTCCACACCCAGTGGAACCAACAGGAGGAACATGAAAAGAACAAGAAACAAGAACTGAATGGACCAAATGCAAATCTAAGGTTTCGCGAGCAAAACAAAGGGAACACAACTGAAAGAAGCAAGTTGAGGAATGCTGGTGTCACAACATAGCAAGCCACCGTGATTTGCAGCGCGGTCCTGCTGTAAATATTCTTTTTGGTCTCTGGAAAGCTCGGATCAACAAACCTTGGACTCGTCAAGATCTTGTCAGAATGTCAATCAATCTCTTCACTTTGTCACTTCTTTCAATCGATTTGTGGATATTATTGGTATTTCTACAGGCCAACCGCACCATGGCCACCCCAAACATCTTGTCATTGACTGTTTGATGTCTTGGAGTGTTAGCTCCCTTTCAGTAGCTTATCAGCTGTCGCTGATTGGCTAAGCTCCATCGGGGGTCCATTACGGTTCTTTCGCCGTTCACTACGCTTAACGTGTACATTCTTCCGCCGTTCTGCGTTTGAACTGGTTCCTTCGGCGAAGAGTTCGGGTTGCTAGCCCTCCTGCTGCCAAGCATCGTCGCATACAGAGACTGTGGCCCCTCCAAAGCAGCTCAATTCTGTACTTCAACCAGCACACCATTTACAACATTTTACAACAAGTGCTTTGTATTGAAAAGTGTTTTAGCTTGCCAGATGCGGCCTTGTTTCTCATATCGTTGTACATGAAGTCAACCGTATCATCCACAATGCTTTGCGGGAGTTTTTCACAACTCCAATTGTACTGGCTTAGGAGTCGTGCAGCAGGAATGGATTGTTGGGCTGGATTTGCCGCCGTGCCGTAGAAGAGGCGCAACACCGAGCCCAGAAACACCACTTCCTGCGTCTGAGCATTGAGAGGAGCAAAATGGAAGACATCAGTTGATTTTCTGATTGGGAAAACCTCTCACTTGTACGCCCCAAACAAGTGCCGATTGCTCTCATTGACTCATCTCCGAGCTAACCGCACAAAATCGTACTTCCGATTGGACTCAAAGACTCAAAGATACCCCTTCAATCAACAGGCTGTTCATCCTGTATCTTGGTGTTGTTTACCACCGTCTTCTCCATCTCACAAATGTCGACCAG